GACCAGGCTCACACCTGCTGAGCTCCAGTGGGCTGCTAGTTGTGCGTTGCAGTAGCTGTTGGCCCCATTTCTGATAAAATAAAGAAAATAAGATAAGAAGAAAGAAAATGGAAAACTTGCCACGGGGTAGAACATGGCTCTGAGATACGTATTCAAATAAAGTGCATTAAATTAGTAAGAATACTATAGGAAGCTACAATTTGCTTACTTCATTACAACTTCCTTATTGTTTCTTGCATTATGCTAGTTTGAAAGGGCCACTTCCCCAAAAGCTTCTTCCTTTGGACTGTCAAGTTTAGTTTAAACTCTCCTGTCAATGGAAAAGACATTTAATAAAAAGTGTGGGAAACTCTATTCATGACCCAAAAGAGTAGGGGCAGATGGGCTTCGTGGCCTTATGTTGTTATTAAAGGCCTTTGATGTTCTGAAATGGGTCACACTTGCACTGCTGAAGTTTGCTCCTGCAATCAAATGCCCTTTAGGAAGCTGATGATGTTAATCCAAGTGGTGTGAAAAAAAGATAAGGATGAGGAGGAAAAAAAAAGATAAAGATAAGAATTTCCATAAGGATGCTAATTTCAAAAACCTGTAGAAAAAGGAATGCGTTAAAGAAGATTATTGTTGGAGAGGATTTGAGAGTGGAACAGCCACTTTATCGGCACATCACAGGCAAACTGCATGAAAGTCTAAGATAAAGTGCTTCTGTGCCTCTTTGAGCACTTTTGTGTTGAGTCAATAGAAAGCACGTTTTTTTTGGGTGGTTAGAGCTTGGCCTGAAAAACCGTATTCACCTTTTATCTTTAACTTCCAGGTCGCTGTGAAGATAATAGACAAAACACAACTGAACCCTACAAGTCTACAAAAGGTAAGGCTGGGTTTCTTACCCATGTTTGTTCTTTAGTGACGATGTGCAATACGATCTAGGTAGTGAGGGAACTTTTATACTGGGTTATGCAATGAAGGTGGCCATTGCTGAAAAGGCAGGGCTTTGTGTTGTTTTAAATGTGAAAGGTAATCTAGCCCATCTCTGGCTCCTTCTGCACGAGGGGGTAATTTGGAAGAAGAGTGTGGCAATTCTTAAAGCTGCAGGCACAGACCTCTGTTCGAGCTGCAGATCCCTCTCTCCCTCTTTCTGTCTCTGCAGTATTGCTTATCAAACTGTCCTTAGGCCAAATGGGCCTTCAGCAGGTCAATGTTGCACTAATAAGCTTCCTTAAGAGCAGTAAGTTGCACATTAACCACTGATCAAACTTCCACAGGGACATATCTTATCTTGCAACAGGAGCTGTTTTTCTTGAGAAAAGAAAGCTGTCATTACTTAATGTAAAGCAAAAATCTTTACAAAACTATTTTCCCAACAAGACCTGCTTTATGGGTTCAACAGCACAAATTCAATGGATCCATACTCATTAAACTTTTACCGGTATACTACGATTGCTCCTTTTCTTATATGTTAAGAGTGCAATGACATTAAGAGTCTCCCTTTCCATTTGAAGTATCAAAAAACATTAATTTGTTATGAATTTGAGTCTCTATTCTCTGTTTAAATATTAATTTTATT